AACTCATAGCGGCCCCATGTACAACAGAACTAAACACTGCCTGGTCCTCACAATCGTTGTTGTGCTTGAGCCCATTGTTGCAGCCACTGTATCAATCCATCTCATTGAGGGTCTTCCTGTTTTTCATTGACCCTCTACTTTACCAAGCATGATGTCCCTCTACAGGGATTGATTCCTCCTGATAACATGTCCAAAGTATGTGAGACATAGTCTCGCCATCCTTGATTCTAATGAGCATTCTGACTGTACTTCTTCCAAGACAGATTTATTTGTTCTTTTGGCAGTCTGCCATACTGTAATTACTGTGGTAGGCTAAAAAATGGCCCCCATCAGCCTGTCCCTACCCAGCTTACAGGGCCCAGAGGACCGCGCCTGAGCCCAGAGGCAATGGCCAAGGCCACTGTGAGTAGCACACACGCTGCTGCCCAGGGGACTGCACGGCCACCTCCAGGCCATCTGGAGGAGCACCAGCCACTGCCACCCATGCAAAACTTAGGTTATGAACAGGATTTTTTATGAAACTGGGTTGGAATAATTTTCATAATGTGTATGTATGTGTGTGTGTATTTGCATTTAGCTTAAAGTGCCATGAAAAATTTCGCAAATTGCAAGGTGCCCCTAGCCACCTCCTAAATTTGGGTACTCTTGGATATGTTCCTTTTGCTTTACTGCAGTGAATGTAACAAGTGTAATTCTAAAAAAGGGGCACGAACAAAGGTGTATCCAGATAATCTTTCTACAACAGGTGTGGTGATTGTTTTCCACAGTGAGGTTTGGAGCATACTTCTATGGATTGTCCACAGTGTCATTAATCACTCACCAAGATAAAATCTAGAAGAAATTATTCTGGTTGATGATGCCAGTGAAAGGGACTTTTGGAAAGGACATGTAGAGTTGTGTGAAAAAAATGAAAGGTACTAGTGCTTCGAACTGAATGACACTCATATAGGTGAAAAGGATCATATTGTTAGATGCTCATTGTGAGTACACACTGGGATGTCTGGAGCCTCTCTTAATCAAAATCAAACCCTCTGCTGTGGAGTCATTCTAACGCATAGCGACCTGATAGGACAAAGTAGAACTGCCCATAGGATTTCCCAGGAGCAGCTGGCAGGTTCAAACTGCTGACCTTTTGGTTAGCAGCCCAGCACAGTGCCAGAATTAAACATGACAGAACAGCCTTAGGCTCTATCATGATGTGATCAGCTATCATACTGTCGAGTACAGGGCAGGCTTTGACACATCCTATGGCAGTGGTTAAGAACTCTATTGCTAACCAAAAGGTCAGCCATTCGAATCCACCAGCTGCTCCTTGGAAACCCTATGGGGCAGTTCTACTCTGTCCTATAGGGTTGCTATGAGTCGGAATCCACTCGATGGCAATTTTTTTAATGGTGGATTCAACCAGAAGCTCAATTTTCACTGGTATCCTGTTCACGAAAGACAAATGGACAGAAAGAAAGGTCAGAACATCAATAATGGCAGGAGACCTTCTTTTCAATAGATAAAGATTACGTTCAGGAACTTGGAACATATGCTAATACTGGCATGGATATTTGGGGAGGAGAAAACCTAGAAATTTCATTTAGGATTTGGCAGTGTGGGGGCACTTTAGAAATTGTTACATGCTCACATGTGTTTCAGAAAGCTGCATCTTATAATTTTCCAGGAGGCACAGGGCAGATTATCAATTAAAAAAAAAAAAAAAAAGCCGATGGCTTCCAGAAGTTTGGATGGATGGATTCAAGAATTTCTTCTATATAATTCCCCCAGGTGTTACAATGGTAGATTACAGAGATATATCATGAAGACTTGATATATGACACAAACTTCAATGCAAACCTAGAGAATATTTGTTCTGATTTTCAAATTTCACATGACTATTTCTCTTTCAGTTGCCTCACATGCACTCAAAAGCTGGACAATGAATAAGGAAGACTGAAGAAGAATTGATGCCTTTGAATTATAGTGTTGATGAAGAATACTGAATATACCATGGACCACTAGAAGAAAGAACAAAGCTGTCTTGGAAAAAGTACAGCCAGAATGCTCCTTAGAAGCGAGAATGGTGAGACTTCGTTTCACATACTTTGGACATGTTATTAGTTCCCGGAGAAGGACATCATACTTGGTAAAGTAGAGGGTACACGAAAGAGAGGAAGACCCTCACTGAGATGGATTGACACAGATGCTGCAACTATGGGCTCAAGTATAGCAATGATTGTGAGGATGGTGCAGAACCGGGCAGTGTTTTGTTCTGCTGTACATAGGGTCACTATGGATCAAAACCGACTCGACGGCACCGAAAAACAATGGCAACATTTCTCTTTGGAAGAGATACAAAACATGGAGCGAAATCAGCATCTGGGTAACAAAGCAAGAAAAGAGAATTGAAAAAAATTGGAATTTTACCTGTCATGGTCCGAGAGGTAATCAGGTTTGCCCTTATGCTGCCAACAAAGAGATTAGAACAGATGGCCTTTGCTCGGATGTCTCCGAACTTAATGTACCAGTCAAAATGCTCAAATGTCACCCCCTAAAATGCTACCAACTGTGGAGTATGATCCAGTGAAATGAAACCTCCATCATGCGAACAATAATCACTGTCTGGATAGGAGAAAAGCAAGGATGGGGACAGCCAGGTGCCCAGCATTGGGGTCAGCAAGGACTGCCTTTCCCAGCATTGTCTGCTTTGAAACAACGCCCTTCGAGAAATGTTCTGAGACCAAACTTACAAAAAAAAAAAAAAAAAAAAGACTAGCTGAATAATTGACTGGGCTACCTCAGCATACACTTCTGCCACATTCTTAAATGGCAAAAAAAAGAAAAGTGCTTTCTTGCTCAGTGGGATGGAAGGTTTATCAGCCATTCAAACTTAGACACTAGCTTCTCCCTAGCCGTGAGCCAGCCTTCCTGCCTAAGGGCGCGACACCACAAGCTAGTGAGACTGTGCACCCTGACGTTTACAAGACTTGAAAACATTTTTCCTCCAGAATCACTGCTGAGGATATTCAGACCATGAAACCGTCAACAAAACACGCTTTCTGGAGAGCTGCACCTTGTCTGGTTTGCTCGCACATCAAGAATTTCTGCTGAAGCTGTTGTCATACTGAAGAGATTTCCAGGATATTTTTTCTAATTTGAACTGGTAGCCAGTATATTAAAGACTGATACAAAAATAAATGCAAAAGAACTGGTACCAGATTCAGTATCATGAAAACAACATTTTTACAACAATTAAAAATATATATACACGAGAGAGGGCTTAAAACCATTGCCAAAGAGTCGATTCTGATGCAGAGCCACCCTATAGGACTGAGTAGAACTGCTCCAAAGGGTTTCCAAGGAGCAGCTGGTGGATTCGAACTGCTGACCTTTTGGTTAGTAGCCATAGCTCTCTGTAGTTCTCAACCACTGCGCTGTCTTAAAGGAAATTAACCAGAACTATGAGTAGTACAATTTGTTATAGTATAGTATCAAATTCCTGCATTGTTGTTGTTGTTAGGTGCCGTCCAGTCGGTTCCGACTCATAGATGCATAGACGTCATAACTCAATGGGGAGAAAAATAACTGATTCCACGAACATTCACTTTGTTTTGTCTGTGATTACCATGGATGCTTCCCCCTCCTTGATGAGCTGAACTTGAACTTAAAAAATGACTCTTTAAACAGAGTTAACCTCTCTCTATAAATTTTATTTTATTTGCTTTGTGGGCTGTTGGAATTTTAATTTTTACTTGCCTTCTAAAAAATGGAGGTTTGACGTAATGTCTGGTCTTAGCTGAACAAGTTAGATATCTCAGCTGTTCTTGGATCAACTAGCTGGGTAGAACTTCACACACAAAGTAAAATTCCCTACTGCATTTTCAGCTTCTGATCTTGATTCAACTCATTATGCCTAATCCCCAAGGTTCATGCTCTCTACTACAGATGTTTTACAGCAATAAATCCTCAGTTATCTGTTTATGATTCCAATCAACTGAAGGACTGCAGAAATTACTTATCATTTGGGGATCTGGAGATGATATATTTGAGGGTTTTTTGGAAAACTTTTTTCTTATTCTATACTCAGATGTGCTTCATGTTGAGTGTGTATTTAGATTGTATCCTTGAATTGTAATGTTGATCTGCTGGTTTTTCCCTTAAGAAAATTTGACTGAAAAATGTTAGATTTAAAAAAAAAAAAAAGAGCTTTTTCGCAAAAGATATCCAGTCTTAATCCCTGAAACCTGTGAATGTTACGTTGTGTGGGAAAAGAAAAGTCTTTGCAAAAGTAATTAAGTTAAAGATGTTAAGATGGGGAGGTTATCTTTGATTATCTGGGTGAGCCAGATGTAATCACATGTATCCTTATAAAAGTGAGGGAAGAGGGAGATTTGACGAGTGTAGAGGAGAAGGCCATGTAAAGTGGGAGCAGAGAGAGATTTGAATATATTGGCTTTGAAGACTAGAGCGATGTAGCCACAAGCCAAGGAATGCTGGCAGCCACCAGAAGCTGGGGGAGGCAAGAAATGGATTCTCCCCCAAAGCCTCTGGAGGGAGCGCATCTCTGCCAATACCTTGACTTCAGCCCAGTGACACTGACTTAAGAGTCTAACCTCCGGAACTGTGAGAAAGTTAATTTACCTTGTTTTAAGCCACCAAGTTTTGGTGATTTGTTACAGAAGCCACAGAAAACTAATATAATTATCACGCAATAATTTTTCTTATTTTTTTTCCCTCTTCACACTCACTACTACAATTTCTGTGCCTGCCTGTAATCTTCCGAACTTGCCAATAACCATTCTTATTTCTCAACTTTAATAAACGCTGGTCCCTGTTAGGACTAATACATTTATAATCAATTATAAGAAAGGGAGAACATAGACAAGATTACATATACTTTATATATGCAGTGCCAGTAAGTTAGAAAACTTAAGAACTAGTTCAAGGGCACACAGTATACAAAGTATCACAAATTACAACCCACAAAGTGATGGCCATATGTATATATTCCATGTTTATAAATTCTCATCCAGCCAACTAATATACATATCTCTTATCCTAAGACCTAGACGTAAATGAAATGGTGAGGACATGTATGATAAAGCTCCATGGATTCCATCCTCTACGTGGTCATGAGCAACTTGAACGCCAACATTTCGAAGTCGTGTGACATACATAAGTCCATCATCCCTTAAGACGTCATATTGACAGGTAAGAATATAAGTTAATGGCAAATTCTGTAACTGCGAGTCATTAGCCAACAAGGGTAATGCTCTCTTATCCAGAAGCCCTGGTAGCAAATAATTAGGTCTGCCAAGAATTGGTTCGGTATAAATGTGGCCCTTTCTGTACTTCTCGGGAAGTAACGTGCTCCAGTTAACAAGCTTGAACAGATGCCTGGACTCCAGAGGCATATGTTGGTTTTGTCTCATTGCCTGGGGAAGTGCTTCATCCTTGGTGAAATATAGACTCACGAGTTTTATGGCTATGTCCCGTGTCAGAAGTATGCCATGCTCATTGTCTAGGTGAGATGGCAAATTAGAATCAGCTACTTGTAAGGCGGGGTAAAGTAAAGCTTGTATCTTGATTTTATGTTTTATTTCAGGATCATTCTGCATCTGAAAAATATCATGATATCCTGTAAGGCAAAGACCACCAAAAGACAGGAGGAGGAAATTACATTTGAATCATGTAAGTAATCATCCCTGTTAAAACTCATTGCTGTTGAGTCTATTCTGACTCATAGCAAGCGTATGTAGCTCAAGTAAGCATTTCATTTAGCTCTACTTAAGCCCTCAGTATCTGGATCTCACGTTCCTTCTGGGATGCCGTATGAAATAACTCACTTTTTCCACATATGTGTCACTATTTTCCACTTCTCTGCCGGCATTGTTGCTTGTTGCCTCACCATTCAATGCTTTTACCTATCTCTCTGCCATCTTTAAGGATCAAGACGTCAACTTCTTTCAAGATAATGGAAGACAACGTGCTGGCCAGATCCTCCAAGGCTGGCAGTTTCGCCCTAGTCTTAACCATTGTGATATCAGTCTGATGTGAATCTTTTGCTACACATTTAACATATACTTATAAAATATATGTGTGATTATGCATTTAAATATTGATCAAAGCAAACTCCTCTTTCTCTAAACAACTCTAAACTACCAAGGTTCTTTACCTTTCTCAGGCCAATTATTTCCTTTCTTTCATCTCATAAAAATGTCTATGATGAGTCTTTCTACTTGATTTTGAATTCCATAAACACTGACATTATATCTAAATTATCATTATATCTCTCACTAGGCCTAACATAGTGAAATGCTCAATAAGTAGTATGAAAAAATAATAGAAGGATAAATGAGTGAATGAATGAATGAATATTACTGTTCAGTTTATGATACTTTTAATAGGACATCATCCTTGGAATCAGAAATCATGGATGCAAGAAGCAGTAAAATGTATATAACAAGCAGGCCCCAACCATATAACTGGATTATTGAACTATACATAGCTTAGTTTTCTCTCCTAAACCTACATGAATTCAAAGACAAGCTCCCCAGAGTGCAGAAGTGCAAATAAGCATTAATGCTGAATCACAACAAGCCCTGAATGCATGGATCATATAAACAGATGTTCAGCTCTCATTTTGTGGGTAACTAATATGTACCTGAATGCAAAAACAGAAGTATAAGATATTCATCTTAAGATGCTATTACTTTAGAAAGAAAAATAATTAAAGTACAAAGTCAAAAAAGTGAGGAGAACTTACTGAGTTCATGGTAATGAGGTTTAGACACTTCAATAACTGAAGTTAAGAGTGTCCGTTTTCATTATTTTTTTCAAAATGACAAGGTCATTGGGGGTAAATCAGTAACTAAAAAATCATGGAAGAGATTCAGCACATCCTATACTAATTCTTAATCTTTTTCAATAAATAACATTACTTCAATGAGAAAACAATGAATATTAAGCATTCAAACTTTACCTTTGTACTTAAACACCATTAATCCTAAACTTATAATATGTACAGTATAATTCTCCCATACAAAGTATTCATTCTGTTCCTCCTTATTAAACCAACCCAGTTTGAATCTCTAATTTTTCAAGTTGTAGGTCATACTATTTATATTATAGTTATAAAAAAAGTAGTTTATGAACACTGTAAATCAAAACCAAACCTGTTGCTGTCGAGTCAATTCCAACTCGTAGCGACTCCATAGGACAGAGTAGAACTGCCCCATAGGGCTTCCAAGGAGTGGTTGGTGGACTAGAACTGCCAACCTTTTAGTCAGAAGCACACTCTTAACCACTGCACCATTTAATTCTCCTAAGTCTATATATTTGAGAGCAAAATTTAAGATCGTTTCTCAAAATGCCTTTAATGCCATTCTAAAAAGTTTCCAGGGATACTGTCACATAAGCATTTTAAAAGGATATATTTGACACTAGTATGCTTAAAGTTGAAGGAGCCCTGGTAGCGCAGTGGTTAAAGTGCTGGACTGCTAATTGACAGTTTGGCAGTTCAAACCCACCAGCAGCTCCCCAGGAGAAAGATGTCACAGTCTGCTTCCATAAAGATTTACAGGAAACCCTATGGGGCAGTTCTACTTTGTCTTATAGGGTCAGTATCAGTTGGAATCGACTCAGTGGCAGTGGGTTTAAAGATTGAGGCTGGGGGAATCAGTTGAGAGCTTATTGCCAAGGTCTAGGCAAGGGCTCATCTGAGGCAATAGCGACAGATAGGAAAGAAGAGATGTGTGAGATGTTTAGAAATAAAAATATTCAGTAATTTTTAACTGACTAGATGAGTAAGAGGGAGCGATAGAGATGGAGAGAGATCAAAGATGGCTATCTAAAATACAGTTTAAAACTTTGAAGACAGAAACTGTATTTTATTATTAGGAGAGTCCAAAATAGTCTAATACCCTTAACAACAACAAAAATACCCATTGCCATCAAGTTGATTCCGACTTCTAGCAACCCTGTAGGACACAGTAGAACTACCCCACAGGGTTTCTAAGGGACAGCTGGTGGATTTAAACCGCCAACCTTTTGGTTAGCATCCGAGCTCTTAAACACTGCGCCACCAGGGCTCCTTTAAGTACATGGCCAGGTTTTCTTTACCAAGCCCTCACACACTCTAGCATCTCAGAAACACACTAGCCTCTCCCTGAATGCCTTTATGAGCAGTATAGATGTCCTGATGATGGTGTGAGTGTCTGCAGTTACTGTCCCATTACCACGTAGCACTTGATGGTCACCTCATCAGGACCCATTCGGAATTATGGTTGGTTTTCTTCCAACTGTGTGGCTCTTGATTCTAGTTTGCCTTCATATATTGTCTTTCACCTTTGTTTTAGCTCCCTGTCCAGCAACCTGTGGACCAGCCCCATTCTTACTCCAACATCTATTTCTATGTTCACAGCCAACCCCTGGGACATGAATTGAAAGTGGTGGTGAAGGCAGGTTAGTAGCAAAATCAGATAAGGGATACTCTGTGACTTTACACAATGCCCAGAAAGAGCTGTATCACTCCACCGACCCAACTGCTTTGAAACCCATTCAAAGCAGTAGTCTGCCATGGACAACTGTGCCTGACATAAAGGCTGCTTCAGACAGCCTGAGGCATTACTGAATCCTCTCCCACTCCCCAAATACCCTGAGACATCCACAGGGCATGATATTTTCTTGGAGAACGATAGGTCACCCTGCTCAAGGGGCTATCGTTCAGTCCCTCCATGGAGCCTGTCATCATCCACTGTTTCTCTTAACCCAGCTACTGGTTCACAAGGGCTCCTACCATCTAGCCCCTGCTTTGGATGTATGTTACTCAAAGCCCTGCAAGTCCCCACCAACTTATCCACTGCCTGGCATCCATATTAACTTGCTATTTGAGGAGTTTCTACATTGCTTGTGATAAGTTTTGGTTACCAAACTTAGCAGATCTGCTATTTTCATCCCAGAATACCCAGCTTCATAGCAACTGTGGTTGCTATCCCCACTAATTCCCCTTTGTCACTGATTGTTCCACACCCAATACCCCGAATTCACAGACAAGCAGTGAGTGTCTGAATAAATTATGAACAACCCAAAAAGAATTCCATGTGTTAGGTCTATTGGCCTCATTCTGGGATGCATGCTCCAACTGTGCTGGCAGCTGGAGGGAGATCTCCCACAAGAGGCCTTTCAAGAGCCGAAGATGATCAACCTATTCTCCGCCTGGTAGATTCATTCTGTTCTTTCCTGCTCCTTATTCTTCCCCCCAAAATTCCACTTCCTACTTTCTGTCCTAAAACTAGAATAATAAAACAGATTGCATCACTCAAAAGTGTTAGACTCATGGAGACACCAGGTCCAGGTGCAATAACCTGTTTACTGGGAAGGAAGACCTGAAGTCAGTGTTGCCTAATGCTTAAGATTCAGTAACTTGGCATGAGTCCTGAATTTATAACATATTAATTCTACAACCTTGGACAAGTTACCTAACTTAAGTTATTTAAACTTAAATATCTGTTGATCTTCAAGCAAGCAAATCATAGGGGATATTGGCTCAGTTCCATTTTTGTTTAAGAATGCAGAGTGGTGTCTGAACTGGATTAGCATGTTTATAACTCCTGTATACCATGACTCAGACCTCAGAAGCCTTCTGAAAAACATGTCCCCACCACCTCCACAATGTATTACTCTACAGTAAAGGACAGTTGTCATACACTGCCCCTTTTTGTCATTTCAGTGTCTTCCTCAATCTAGCGTGCTAACTTTCTGCCCTGTTCAATGAATGTATTTCCCTTGAATAGACATTTTTATATCATCCCCAACTCCACTTTCAAACACAGTCCTAGCTTCCAGAAGCTAGCTCCCAGAAGCTGTTTGAATCAGAACCCATTCCACTTTTCCAGAGAGCTGCAAACAATGATATCAGACACGATTTCTACTATTCCATGAGCATTAGCTATAAACCAGATATTCTGATTAGTGGGTTATATTTAACTTTCTCTTGTATTTATCACAGATGCCTAAAACCCATTTTCCCATCAACCCTACTAGACTCCTCTTTATTAATTACCCCCTATATTCAATTTTTCCCAAGCCCTGTCAATGTCATATTTTCTTTTTAAATATTTTATTGTACTTCAGGTGAAGGCTTACAGAACAAACAGTTTCTCATGTAACAGTAGTACACATGCTGTTTTATGACTTTGGTTAACAACCCCACAACATTTTAACCCTCTAAATTCTCAACCTTTTTTTTTTTTTTTTTTGGTGGAAATACACATAACCAAAAATACACCATTTCAAAGCTTTTTGCGTACACATTTAAGTGGCATTGACTCCGCTCTTCTAATTGTGCTGTTATTCTCACTTAAGATGAAGGCTTACAGGACAAAATAGCCTCCCATTTAACAATTACTACAAATGTTGCCCTATAACAATGATTAACAATCTCACAACACATCAACAATATCCTTACTCAACCTTGTGTTCCCTATCATCAGCTTCCTACTCCCCTTCTGCCTTCTGGCCCTTGTCACTGGACTCCTGTACCTCGTTAGTCTCATTTGGTTTTACTGGGCTGTCCACTCCCAGGCTGAACAGTTAACCTCGAAGGTAACTTCACCAC